TAGAGACAAAGGATACAATCCTGGCACACACCTTTCCTGATTTTAAGCCATTCAGTTCCCCCTTGTTCTATCCTTATGGCTGCCTCTTGGTCTATGTACAGTTTCCTCATAAGCACATGATTAAGTGTTCTGAATTCCCACTCTTTGCAATGTTATCCATAGTTTGTCATGATCCACATAGCCAGAAGTCTTTACATTGTCAATAAAACACAAGTAAACAGCAGAGAATACAAGGGTATTGTCGGATGCAGCGAATATCCCTCTGACATTAACAATGGTATCCTCTGTTCCACGTCTTCTTCTAAATCCAGCTTGAATGTCTGGCAGCTCCCTGTTGGTATACTGCTTCAATCATTTTTTAATTATCTTCAGAATTTTACTTGCATGTGATATTAATGATACTGTTAGATGATTTCCACATTCCTTTGGATCACCCATCTGTGGAATAAGCACAAATATGGATCTCTGCTAGATGGTTGGCCAAGTAGCTATCCTCCAAATGTCTTGGCATAGAATGGATGAGCTCCTCCAGTGCTTCTTCAGGTTGTTGAAATATTTCAATTTGTATTCTATCAATTCCTGGGGCCTTGTTTCCCAGTGCCTCCAGTGTACCCTGGACTTACTCATTCTGTGTCATTGGCTCTTGATTATGAAATGGATGAACATTGACCGTTTCTTTTTGGTACAGTGACTGTGTATTACTACCATCTTTAGATGCTTTATGTATCATTCAATATTCTGCCCAGTTTCTGAACTATTGAAACTCATAATAGTCAACATCCTACTTATAACACCAGTCTCGAAGTGGTGTTGTAGTATAAGTACTAGACTGCTAATCACAAGGTTTTGTGGTTCAAACCCACCAGCTGCTCCTCAGAAACCCTCTATAGGGTCACTATAAGTTGAACCCAGCTCAACAGCACTAATACCAATACCAATAACAACTTATAATATCCAGTTGGGTGTCTAATAGACCTTTAAAGCTGACTGTGTCCTTATTGAATTAGCTTCTCTCAAACCCAGCATGCCCTTTTCCCAAAGTAAAAAGCCATTCATCCTTAATTCCTCTTTCTTTCACACCCCATATCATGTTTATGAACAACTTTTGGCTCTATCTTCCTCTATTGTTTTTGTTTTTTTTTAACTACCCCCAGGATCAGGCAGTATTAAATTCTGCTGTGTATAAGGTCGCTATGAGTTGGTACCAACTCGATGGCACCTAACTAACAACAACAGTTCTTCCATCGGAGTCTTGGTGTGGTGCTGCGGGTTAATGCATTGGACTGCAAAGTTGGTTTGTATTGCAAGGTCAGCAGTTCAAACTCACCAGCCACTCCTCAGAAACCCTATTACGGGGTCGCTATGGGTCAGAATCGACTTGATGGCACTTAACTTTTTTCCATCTAAGGAGCCCCGGTAGCATAGTGGATTGCGAGCAGGCTGCTAATCACAGGATTAGTAGTTTGAATCTCCCAATCACTCGGAGGGAGAAAGATGAGGCTTTTTGCTCCTGTAAAGATTTACAGCCTCAGAAACTCTATACAGGGTTGCATGAGTTAGAGCTGACTCGTTGGCACACCACCACCAACACCCATTTTTCCATCTTACTCTAAACTGCCATCATTTTCCTGAACACAGCCTCCTCATTGGCATCCCTGTTTTAACTTTAACCTCATAAAGCCTTTCAGTGTCTTCCCTCACACTTGGAGTAAAATTCTACAAGACCCCACATGACCTGGCCTGAGCTCCCTCTTCTGTGCTCCAACTACTCTGGCCTTGCTAAGTCCTGCACACAAACTCATTCCATCTCAGGTCCTGGTCTGGACCACTGCTTTTAGAGGTAGCACTCTGGCGTACTCCCAAGCCAGGGCTTTATGCTAACAATATTTTTTGTCATTTTCTCCTCTCACTAGCATGTCTTATTTCATGAAGCCCAGGATTTAGTGTTGTGTTCACTGCTGTATTCTCAACACCTAGAATAGTGCCTGATATTCTCTCAAAGGCACTAGTTAACTCAATGTAATTTTAACTTTCTGTATTGCTAATTAAGTTCACTTGCTAACAGAAAAGCTGTGTTGTGTATGTCCTATAACTCATATTTTTTTTTCACTAATTCAGAAGTGTTGATCATGATTATCCAGATTCCTGAAAATATGATGTATTCTACCAATATATTGTAGATGTAAAAATAATGATTTTGCCTTTGCTTTCTCCTGTTTTCTTGGTGGATGCTACTGCCTAGAATTTGGCATTACGTTTTGAAGATATTTTGATATTAATTCTAAGACATAAATTAATCCAATATAGACAAAAAGAAGTTTTTGTTTCGCTTTATGGTTTTGGTTACTACACAAGTTTCTTGATGGTGATTTGGTTCATTTGATTTAATCCTAAATTGGTAGTGCTCTTCCTTACATGGGACTTCTGCCTCTCCTTGCCCCTCAAGCCACCTTGTCCTGTACCTCCACTCTACTGCCTGTGCCACACGTTCTCCCTAAGAGGGTCTTGCTATCTCCTTAGTAGCCCAGTCATCCTCGCAGTCAGCAGGGTCTAAATAAAGGCTTACTAGTAAATCACTGGAACTTCATCTTAGCTTGGTGGTGGTGGTGATGTGTGGTAGAGTCGGTTGCAACTCACAGCAACCCTGTACAGGGTTTCCAAGGCTGTAAATCTTTATGGGAGCAGAAAGCTTCATCTTTCTTCTGCAGAACAGCTGGTAGTTTTGAACTGCTGACCTTGTGATTCACAGCCTGGTTTGTAACCACTACGCTATTCTTAGTAAAAAGGCTCAGGATATGTAGAAAGGCTCTATGGTTTTGATCTCTTGTGACCTCATTTGCTGACTGGGATACAGACTTTATCATTTATTCAAAGAGTGAAACATGCCCTTAGTGTGTATAAAGGGATATGATGGTTCTGAGACAGGAGGATGAGAATCTGCAATAATGAGTCAGAACTGTAGACTTTCCAAAGCTATTGTAAGATAAATAAATAATGTGTTAAGCTCACAAATAGCTATCTTCTGATGGTTTCCATAGTTTCACATACAAATTAATATCTAACATGGGATTCTGGCTTAAATTTCATCATGTATAGATTTGGTCTTATTTAATATAAAGTTTTACTCCTCTTCTTACAGAGGCGCCCTGCTACTTCAGTGGGTTAAATGTTGGCATGCTAACTGAAAAGTCAACAGTTGTAACCCACCAGCTGCTCCATGGGAGAAAGATAAGAATGTCTACTCCTGTAAAGATTTTCAGTCTCTGGAACCATAGGGAGCAGTTCTACTTTGTTCTGTAGGGTTTCTGTGAGGCACACAGCCCTGGTGTCACACTGGGTTAAGCATTCTACTGTTACCCGAAAGGTTGACAGGTCAAACTCACCAATCTGCTCCTGTAAAGATTTTTTTGAAACCTTTAGCACTTACACCCTACACCATGAGTCAGAATTGACTCAGTGGTAGTGGGTTAGTTGGGGGGGGCATTGTTTTGTTTATCTTTTTAGAATTGAAGTCTTCTTTTAAAAAAGAGCAAACAGTTGCTTTTAGCTAGCCTATGAGGAAAAGTTTCACAAGACCATTCTAAAGTGAATATAGTAGTTTATTTTCCTTCATGGGAACAGCCTCTCATTTGGTCAGATGGTGGCAGGATAAGATAGAATAGCTTCTATCTTATTCACCATAATTTCATTTTTTGTAAAATATTATAAAAATATTTTGAGTAAATGAAGTGAAGCCTTCTTTTGTGTTAAACTATCCTTTCTAAGTATACACTTGATCTTACCTTATAATTTAAGCCCAAGAATCTCTTTTTAGGGTTGTATTTCTAAAATGTTGGATATATAACATCTATTTTGTAAACTGCGAAGATTGTATTCATTCATTAAGTAACTTTGGTTTAGATCTTACCTTCTAGGCACTGCCTTCTTTGAGTAGGCATTCTAGAAGTTGAGACAAATAAGTAATTACACTAAGAATTGATCAGGGCTGTAACAGGAGAAATACAGTATATGCATAGAAAATAACATTACAAGTGTATACCCGAAATATTTTTATGTGAGTTAAACCATGACAGTTTGCAGTGATATCTGTGCCACCCTCATGAAAACCATTGATCTCCTGTGACCTTTTAAAATAAAGGCTACTCTTGGAGGTTATTGTGACCTTTTAAAGAACACAGTCAGCCATCTATCTGCTCAGGAGCCAGGCCAGCAGTAATAGCTGTTATTAAGCTATTAAGGTTCAATAGGAAGCTTACAGGGCGGTGAGTTTATGTTTCTGATGAGGAATCAGAATAGGAGGCTGAGAATGGTAACAACGTCATTGACTTATACATGAGGACACTGTTTGGTATATGTTTTGCTGTGCATATTTTCAACAACAAAAAATAAAATTTTGAGATAATAAAACAAAATAAGGGCTAGTTTGAATAATAAAGCACAAGCAATGGGAGAAAACTTGTCAGGAAGAAGATTAGAGCTTTGACAAGTAACAGCATGGAGTTTATCTGTGAAGACTTGAAAAGATGCTGCAGGGGTACCCCCCTAACCTCAGATATATCTGCTGTCTTTGTCTTCATCCACTGCTGGCTTTGGCAGTTACCAGTACAGCCAGTGAGTTGTGCTCTCTGCTTGCTTTCCACAGGTCTTATTTAAGAAGAAACAATAAGATAAACTCTGGTTGTTTTTATTTACCTTCTTTTTCCCTATAGCTGCCTCCCATAAGTTTTTGTTTTATGCATTTATCATCTAGGAAAAAAAAAAAAAAAACCCACCCCCCACAAAGAAACAAAAACCCCTGGGTTCTTCCCGGGCAGGAGAGAAATTCAGGCTTAATGCTGTGCTTTCTTCAGACTGTAACAATAGCAACCACAGAACGGACAAAGCTGCATTTTCCTTTTATGTTTTTCCTTTAGATATCTCAACAGGACCTTCTTGGCTAAATCAGGGACTGCTTTTGAACTCTACCCAATCAGTTTCAAATTTTGACCTGACCAGTGGCGCCACCTTATCCCAATCAAGGTATGTAGTTTTCCAAGGCTAGAGGGCAAACCACAACGCTCTGACCCTCTGTGAAGGGAAGAGCCAGGAGTGCCTTACTGCTGGCCTGGCTCCTGAGCAGATAGATGGCTGACTGTGTCAGTGGCACTTCTTTGCTTTGTCTTTATTACTGTGTTTTACAGAGCGTAAAGCATATACCATATTAATGAACATCTGTATTTGTAATTGTTTGCTAGTGTAAACCAAGGGTTATGCTTGGATGCTGAAGTGGCCTTAGCAACTGGGCAGTTCCTTGCCCCAAACAGTCACCAGTCCAGCAGTGCGGCCTCCCACTGCTCTGAGTCCCGAGGAGAGACGCCCTGTTCGTTCAACGATGAAGACGATGACGAGGATGAGGAGGATTCCTCGTCCCCAGAATAAACACAGGAGAAAACCCACTTTTTATTATTTGATGCTCATGTGTGTTTTTAGTGTGAGCTCTTTGTTTTTGAAATGATTGTTTCAGTCTTTGCCTTTGTTTGCACTGGGTGTGCAGTGAAAGCTAGAGAAGAAACACAATAAGCAAATGACAAGAAGGCTAATATGATTGAGAAGAAAGGTACCATAGTGTGAATGGAAACTCGGTTGGACAGAACAATAGGTCACATTACAAACAAAGCATGTTTTCTGCAGTGGTAGAGGAAAAACAATCCCTGAAGAATTGGCAGCATGAATGAAGCTTTTCTCTTCCATGAGGTGGGATCTTTGTGTTCCTCCACACCCAAGTAATCCTCTTTGGAATTGAGATTGCTACAAGAAATAGTCCTTAGTGATCATGTTTCTCTCCTAGCCTGGGATGCTTTCTGTAAGGCAGAAATGGACATGAAGGGGAGTTGTCCATGAGGGTTGCAGATGGACAATCCTTGTGGCCTAAGGAGCACAGATTGAACTGCTGAACTAGTTGAAAGTCCAGTTGAGGTGTTGTATGCATCAGCTGCCTTACCTTCTAGAAAGGAGCGTGTGCTAATTCTTAAGTACTTAAGTGAGATTTAGAATAATTTATAGTAAAACTGAAATGATCATGATTAGCCAATGCATTGTTGCATAGAATACACTAGGGCTATTTCTGGAAGCCAAAATCAAATAGTATTTCCATGTGCATTAAATACTTTGCCAGCACTGCCTTCTGCCTGCATTCTAGACCTGGGATTCATAGGGAAGGAAACTATCTCTAGTTTTCATCATGGATTTCATACAGCTTTTTCATTTAGAACAAAACAAAAGAAATCCCTATGACCGAATTGTTTGCCTACAGTTCCTGCAGCAATTGTATGAATTTACTCACTGTGCAATTTGTGAAACTGAACCAAATGTTATTACTTTGGTCTTAAAAGTCTATTTCAAGAATCTGAGCAGCAATGTTTTCCTGTACATGTCATGTTTTGTACATTTTCATTCATCAAAATAACTTTATTGGGTTTATTCCTGGGTAAACTGCATTTCAGACTTACCCACTGTTCAGTGTTTCATGAAAACATTGAAAGACGTTGCACATTTCAAATGATTTGATTTATAGTAAGGTTGTATATAGTATATTCTTTTATAGCCAAAGATGCCATTAGTAAGCCTGCTCGGGTGAGTTCACAGTTGCTGCCCCTCTGAGTAGATGGTGTGGGGACATCGCTATCAGGGTCCAACAAGGAAGAGGGTGGACTGTGACCTGGTAGAGGCAATGAGCACATGTAATAGTAACAGGGTGGAAAATCAGTGTGAGTCCCAGTAATGTTTTTGTCAGTTTTAAAGACATTGTTTTGAATAAAAAAAGAAACATGAAAATTCAGGTTGTTGGAACTTCCATGAGTAGACTGTCAGTTTGCAGTTAATTTCACATTAAGGTCTTGAAAAGAGCAAAATCCTAATGGGAATATTAACTCTAAAGCTTTGACCAGATGTAATGGGAAAATTTTAATTATAAAGAATTGAAGTTGTTTGGTTATGCATCTCGCACCCCGGAGCCTCTCCCTCCTCTCCTCTCCTCAGTGCCCCCGTGAGACGCAGGCTCGCTCCTGTGACACCCTATTGAGGTGAAACTCTGCCATACTCTTTCCACTGAGCTGGAGGAAGAACCGCTGGCTGGCCTCAAATTTGTATTAGGGATAGAAAAACTTGACCCTGAACTTCAGGGGGCCCAGAGAGGCCAGTGGGAATAGCTAATTTTTTAGTCCCAAGAACATACACCTTTAGCTTAAGGTCCTTTGAAATAAAACTCATTCTGTCAGGAATACACCATTAGCTCAGTCTCACTCAGTATTCACAGCTGGCAGGAAAGTAGAGAATTCTGGTTCAGGTGACTTTTGGAGCATACCTTCTGGGGCTGTTCAGGCTGAAGGAGTCAGCAGTGGGTCCTCATTACAACACAAGATATTTCTGACTGGGAGTCCACCAGCTGTGCAGGTCAGTCAGCAGGTCAGAGATTCTCTCTAAGCCATCTTTGAAGGGGCTGCTTGCTTGTTTGGTAACTCCAACCCTTGTCCCTGAACTTCATGGAGCTCAGCGAGGCCAATGACATTAGCTAGTTTTCCAGTCTTCAAAAGCATCATCTGTGTGTCAGATCTCAATATACGTTTCAACATCCATGACAGGTACAGCAGTTGTAACCATTCGATTACTGAATAGCAGAATCCTTGATAGAGCTCTAGGGAAAGTGGTCCCTTTTCTACTCTCCTCCTGTCTGCTGCCATAGTACTTTACATTGATAAAATACAGGATGGGTTTTTCAGCAAAGTGCAACCAAAGTCTCTTATTAGTGACCTTTCAGTAGCCATCCCAGTCACAGATTTCTCACAGAAAATGCTCTCCCTCCCTCAGTCTTAGGTTTGGGTTACTGTTGAGGACATACTGTGGTCCCCAGTACTTGTGACTGGTATAAAACTTAAGGCAAAAACTAGGTTGAGATATTTAGAAAGATAAATCCTGTTACTATTTATCTCCCCTTTACCTGGGTCTAAAGTTCAGCGCTGAGTCACAATTTCATATAGGAATTAAAGTAAGGAAGATGTTAGGAAATCGTTGGTGACAACTTCAGGACTTGTATATAGGAGTAGCAGCCTGGGTTACATGCATACAGTCTGCCATTTCCTGAGGTTGTAGGTCTCGCTTTGCTTTTGGGGCTTAGCAAGGCCTTTTCCCCTTGGGAGTCAGTTGAGTGGTTGCCTTTTCCAGCACATAGTATTACAGTCAGTGCATTCCTGCCAGCTGAGCACATGTGCTGGAGGCCCCAGGCAGCAGGACTTGACCTTGGAGTGCAGAGGCAATCCTCCAGGGGCTTCCTGCTCTTAGGATGGGTGAGACTCCACCTACTCTGGCCTTGCCTCCTCCTTCCCAACCAATTCTGTGTCTCACCCACTTAATTTCATAGGCAGATGATGCAAAGCCATTTCAGTGAGTGTTGGTGTGAATTGTGTTTGTGGGCACAGAGGGCCATGAGAGTGGCAGAAAGGAGGTGCTGACCTAGTGGTTCTTCATCTCTCCATGATGCCCCAGTCTTAGGAAATGTCACAGATCACCACCACATGTTATGCTTCTTACAGTTATCAAAGTGGTGGTGGGCAGAAAAGTCTGTAGATCCTGCCATTTACCAGGATGGAAGAGGGCAACTTGCCCCCATTAGTGGATTTATGGTTGAAACCATGTCTGCCCTGCTTGACAATAATGCCAGGGACAGACCTCAGAAACAAGTCAGTCTGCATCAGATACTTCCATTGATGGATGCCTTCCCTGAAGCAGTGTCTCAGCTGCCTTTGCAGGCATCTTTGCTAAACCATTGTGGTCTATTCGGGTGGTAGGGACAGAGCTGTAAGTGTGGCCTGGGTCCCTGGTATAGTCAGGACTCCATGGGACCAACAGGCATTTCAGTGCTGTTCTGTAGCTGAATGGGGACTGCCTCAGGTCTTACAGAATAAGAGAGAAGCCTATCTAATTTCAGAAAAGTTCCCTCAGGCATATAAAAGAACAAAATAGATGTCCCTACACAACAAATGAGGCCAACCTTAAAGGTGCTGTCTTAGGGCTACGTACTGGGTGGGGGTTAGTGAATGTAATATATTTGCACACGTTACATGCTAGGTACAGGGGACAGAGCAGTGACAGGCAGCCCTGCCTTCATAGAACTCACATTTTACAGAAAACACAAGCCATTCAAATTCATCAGTGCTACAGAAAAAACAGGGGCGTGTGACAGTGCAGGGAGGCTACTTTAGCTGGGGTGGCTTGGGCAGGCCCCTTTGACAACAGATTTTGCCCTGAATCAGTCAACTGAAAGACCTCCATCCCATCTGTAGCTTCCTAACGCATCACACTACCCATACCATGTGCTTGGGTTGTTAAGTGCTGTCCAGTTGGTTCCGACTCTTAGCGACCCCCTACAGGGTTTCCGCAGAGCAGCTGGTAGTTTTGAACTGCTAACCTTGTGGTTCGCAGTCCAGAGCTGCTCCTACAGTACCATACCAGGAGTCCATGTGCTTGTGGAGTCACTACTAAAACTGTTCCAGTTTTAAACATATAACCTCTGGTAGTGTAGTGATTACAAGTTGGGCTGCTAACCTCAAGCATTCCACAGGAGAAAGATGAGTCTTTCTGCTTCTGTAAAGATTTACAGCCTCAGAAACCCTACGCAGGGTTGCTATGAGTTCAAACCGACTCCACAACACAACCACCACCACCAGTGATAATTACTTTTGTTACCTTCCAGTTAAAGAGCCCTGGTGGTGTGTTGGTTAAGCACTAGGCTGCTAACCAAAAGCTCATTTTATTCCACCAGCCGTTCCACGGAGGAAAGTGGAAACCCTATAGTGCAGTTCTCCTCTGGGGTCGTTATGAGTCGGCATCAACTCAACAGCAGTGGGGTGGGTTTGGTTTGTTTTGCTTTGGTTTTTAAACTTCCAATTAAAGATTGTAATTTACACAGTAGTAGTAAAGTAATTGGAAATGGAGAACGTTTTTACATGTTTTCTCCTGGTTTACCAAGTTGTTGGTTACATAGCAGAATCTTTTTTATATTATATATAGAAAAGATGATCTACTTTTATTTTGCACATGTGCTGGCATTGGTGAAACTAATGACTAGTTAGGACCACTTTCTCAGAAGGAGTTCCCATTTTCAGGAAGTCAAAGCAATGGTCCCAAGAGCTGGTATGGCACTGTAGCATAAGCAGTAAATTGCCAACCACAAGGTTGATGATTCAAACCTACCAGCTACTCCTTGGAAACCCTGTACAGGGTCACTGTGATCCAGAATGTACTCAACAGCACTTAACATCATATTGTGCCAGAAGCCAGCAGCAAGCTATTTGAGTGACTCAGAAACCTTTCTTCGTTGCCCCCTAAAACACAGCCCGTACAACTATGAGTAAGCAGGAAGCCAGGGACATGCTAAAATGTCATATGCTTTTAGTTTGACTTTCACTGATGCCATACACTTGCTCAAAAGGAAAGAAGCCTGATGATTTTTTGCTTAGATTTTTACCTTATAAGAAAGTATTCAAGCTAAATGTCCATATAAGCTATAACATTTCTCAGGTAATAGCCCAAGAGGTCCCTGAAGTTATACATGGATAACCTTTGGGGTCCAAATTTCCACATACATCTACACTCATACTCTGGAAGAAAAAGTGAGAACACAAAACTTTTTCACCTTCCACGATTCTGCCCTAAGAGTCCCTGACAAGGACAAAATACTTAGATGATAGCAGACGCAGCTGTTCACTCTTGTATTGACACAGGAGAAGTATATTCATCTAGTATGTGTATGCTGCAC